TGACCGGCGGCTCCCGCTGCCCAGGACTGACCGGCGGCTCGCGCTGCCCAGGGCTGACCGACAGGCTCGCACTGCCCAGGGCTGACCGGCGGCTCCCGCTGCCCAGGACTGACCGGCGGCTCGTGCTGCCCAGGGCTGACTGGCAACTCACGCTGCCCAGGACTGACCGATGGCTCGCACTGCCCAGGGCTGACCGATGGCTCGCACTGCCCAGGGCTGACCGGCGGCTCCCGCTGCCCAGGACTGACCAATGGCTCCCGCTGCCCAGGGCTGACCAATGGCTCCCGCTGCCCAGGGCTGACTGGCAGGCTTGCACTGCCCAGGGATGACCGGCGGCTCCCGCTGCCCAGGACTGACCAGCGGGCTTACGCTGCCCAGGACTGACCGGTGGCTCGCACTGCCCAGGGCTGACCAATGGCTCGCACTGCCCAGGGCTGACCGGCAGGCTCGCGCTGCCCAGGGCTGACTGGCGGCTCCCGCTGCCCAGGACTGACCAGTGGCTCGCGCTGCCCAGGGCTGACCGATGGCTCGCACTGCCCAGAGCTGACCGGCAGGCTCGCGCTGCCCAGGGCTGACTGGCAGGCTTGCACTGCCCAGGGCTGACCGGCGGCTCACGCTGCCCAGGGCTGACGGGCGGCTCGTGCTACCCAGGGCTGACCAGCGGGCTTACGCTGCCCAGGGATGACCGGCGGCTCCCGCTGCCCAGGACTGACCGGCGGCTCCCGCTGCCCAGGGCTGACCGGTGGCTCCCGCTGCCCAGGGCTGACCGGCAGGCTTGCACTGCCCAGGGCTGACCGGCGGCTCCCCCTCCCCAGGGCTGACCGATGGCTCCCGCTGCCCAGGACTGACCGGCGGCTCCCGCTGCCCAGGGCTGACGGGCGGCTCGTGCTACCCAGGGCTGACCAGCGGGCTTACGCTGCCCAGGGCTGACCGGCGGACTCGCGCTGCCCAGGACTGACCGGCGGCTCCCACTGCCCAGGGCTGACGGGCGGCTCGTGCTGCCCAGGGCTGACGGGCGGCTCGTGCTACCCAGGGCTGACCAGCGGGCTTACGCTGCCCAGGGCCGACCAGCGGGCTCGCGCTGCCCAGGGCTGACCGGCGGGTGCTCCCTCTCTCTCCTCCAGGGTGCTGATGACGACATCAGCTGCATGACCCGAGTTCTGGTGGCCATTGAGATGTACTCCTGCAATGGGCTGGGCCTCATGGACTTCAACGTGCCTCCTCTGGCCCAGGTGGGCATCCAGGAGCCACGCCGGGCCGGGTGTGGAGCGCCTTGGCTCGGAAGGCCTCGGAAGCTGCCCAGGGCAGTCGGGGGGGGGGTCTTGCCCCATCCACAGGAGAGCTCTCCTGTCCCAGGCGGGCGGGGAGGGCACCCACGGGGCCCCCGGTCTGGAGACAGTCCTGGGTGTCAGGGGCACTGGACACTGCTGCGCGCCCCACTAACACGCCGCCCTCTCTCCCACCACGTACCGCTGGAAGGTAGTGAAAATGGCTTCCGAGTGCAACTGGTCGGACCCCCTGGTGGAGCTGCAGACCCTCACCCGCCTGACCCACTTTGCCCACGCATCTCGCGACCATGACGTCACCCTGTCCTGCGCTCAGATGGCCACGCGTATAGGCATCCGATACCTGAGGATGATTGACAAGTGAGCCACGCCCAGAGCTGCGGGGAGCCTCCTCCAAGGAAGCAGGAGCTGGTCCTTCCCAGGCCCGCCTGCAAACCCACCCCGGGAGCCAGATCTCAGCCCCGCACGCCCCTCGGAGCTGCAGGGGACCGCCCCGGACCCAGAGCTCTGAGCAGAGCAGACACGGCTGAAGTCCCGAGAGACAGCCCGGCGTGGAGGATGGTGGCCACCTGCTCATTCTGGGGGGAGGCTGTTCGTTCTGGTGGAGCTGCTCATTCTTGGGGAGCTGCTCGTTCTTGGGAGGCTGCTCGTTCTTGGGAGGCTGCTCGTTCTTGGGGGGAGGCAGGGCTGCTTGCCCAGGTGTCCCACCAGGGCAGCTGAGACACTCCGCGTTCACTTTCCTCCGCGGTCTCCACTTTCTCAATGTTAGCAGTTTGCACCATTCCACAAATTCAGCAGTAGCTGCATATTTAATCCCCTCCTGAGCCCGAGGCTGTTGTAAACAGCACTGGTTTTCTCGGTGGCTTCCCTGAGCGCAGTGGTCCTGAGCAGTAGGACCACATCCTCAGCTCAGAGACACTTTTGTGGCCCGTGGACGCCGAAGGCCGCTGCAGGACTTGGGGTGTGGCAGTGTCTCCGCTGTGCTGGCAGGAGCCGGGCTGCCATGCGGCCGTGAGGGGCAGAGGTAGGGAGCCTCGGTGAGCTGAGCTGCAGAGTCTGTGCTAAGCTGGCCTGCCGTCGGGCCATCGCGGGAGCCTGCCCGCCGGCTGGGCCGGAGGTGAACCCTCCCTGCTCCCGCCATCTCTCCCTGCAGGGGCGGGGGCGGGGCGGGGCAGGGGGGGCGCCCGTGGGGATCTGAGAGGCAGCCATTCAGGTGGCAGAGACAGGGATGGTGGCGGAAGCAGCGCGGCCACACCTGGCTGCTCTCTCACACCTATGGTCCTTAGTCCCAGCTTGATTTCTGATTGGAAATCCCCTTAATAAGGTAAAGTTGGAGCAATGGAAGGGAGGGTGGCGGCCTGGCTAGGGGCTCTGAAGGTCATCTGTGGGCCGTCACTGCCCCCTGGTGGTCAGGACTGGTATTGCATGGCAGGCCCGGGTGGAATGTCTTCTTGCTTTCTGTAGATCAGTTGCTCAGAAAGGGGCCCCAAGTAGGAGGGTTCCCCAGCCCTGGCGCAGCCTCATCTCCCCCTCAGACCTTGGTCTCTGGCTCCTTTGGGCAGAGCGCAGGCGGAGCTCTCTGCTCCTGGTCCCCTAGGAAGTGTCTTTTTCACAGAATGTGTTAAGTTCTCCTCTGAGCCAAGTTTCAGGCAGGTGACCCCAAAACACAGGAAATGGGGAGGGGAGCGTGCTGAGGGTGGACGCTAGGCCTCGGTGTGTGTGGTTTGCCATAACTGGTGTATCTGGACCGGAGGGGCCGGGAGGAGCAGCCTGGGCCTGTGTCCCCACTGCAGGCCTGCCTGATGCCCTGGGGCCGGGCTTCCTCTTGGGTGGGCGAAACAGCCTGATGAAGGCAGAGCCCAAAGAGGCCTGGTCACTGGTGTATGACAAGATGCCCAAAGTAACAGCAGTTAGTAGTTGGGCGTGGCGTCTTATCCCTATAATCCCAGCCAGTTGGAAGGCAGAGATTGGGAAGATTATAGATCAAGGCCAGGAAGGGCAAAACACACAGGACTGTATCTAAAAAGTAAAGCAAGACAGGACTGCAAGCATGGCTCAGGGAGTAGAGCGCCTCTCTAGAAATGAAGAGGCCCTGAATTCAAACCCTAGTATTGCCAAAATTGAGATAACCTATTTGTGATTGGCTGGACTGGACTCAGCCAGTCAGCTCTGGTTTGGATCTTCCAAGATCTCTGGGGGGCCACCGGTAGCTTCCATGTCCCAGGGCTCCTGGAGCCGGCTCCGGCCCTGCCCACGGCGCTCTAGGCATCATGACTCTGATGAGACACCCCCCACTCCCAGTGTTTCAGGAGTCTCCTACTGGACTCCCAGACACCCGGGTGCACACAGGCCTTCAGCCCAGGCTGTGAGCTTCCAGAGGCCAGGGTCATGTGCCCACCGTAGGGGCGCATGTGGCCAGCCCAGACCTGGGACGGGCTGGAGGAGGGCCGCCATCTGTGTGTACACCTTGCAGGTCAGCAAGTTTTACTTTACTCCTCTGGGGGGTGTGCGTGTGTGCGTGTGCATTTGTCTGCGCATGCATGTGCGTGTGTGTGTGCATGCGTGTGCGTGCTCTGCTGCACTCCTCTAAGCCGTCCTCTGCCCCGCAGGGTGGATGTGCCGCTGGTGGCTGAGATGCTGTGCACGGCCTCCTGCATACAGGGCCGGAGCATCATGGAGAACCTGAAAGGACGGAAGCAGCTGCGGCTGGCCGCGGCCAGGTCCTTTGTGGAGAGTGCCAAGTGCGTGGCTGGGCGGCGAACACAGTGCAGAGGCTCCGCAGGCCGCAGCCAGGGCCTCGTGGGGGGAGGGGGCAGGTGGACCCTGCGGGGAGGGGGCCGGGGAGGCGGGGCCTGCGTGGGAAGCAGAGTGTGGGCAAGGCTCAGCAGGCCCCACCCACGATCCTCTGGCAGCGCGACCTGACCTCGTCACCCACTGCGCCCTGACGTTTCCAGGTCCAGCCACTGCTGCCTCTGGGGCACCGTGTGGCTTGGCGGCCCGAGCGGCCTGGGCCCGGGGCCCGCTGATCACGAGTGTCCGTTCAGGTTTGGAGGCCTGGCAGGCAGCAGCGCTCTGGTGATGCTGGCGGCCAGACACTACTGGAACACCTGGCTCCCGCTCCTGTCCTCGGCAGCCAACAGGAAGAAGGCCCGGGCCTCTGTCCAGAGGGTGATCAGCATCATCAACAAGACGGAGGCCCAGAAGCCGGTACGCCCCGAACCGCAGGGATGCCGCGGGCCCCTCCCCGGGGGACTGTGTGCTCAGGCACACTCGCACCTGCTGGTGGTAGAGCATCCCAGATCCCGGCAGGGCGGGGGCTCCGGCTGACCACAGTGCTGACCTCTGACCTTGCTGCCCTGGTCAGAGACTGTCCCGTCCTGCCCCCTTTAACCAGCTTTTCAACAGTAGGAGTTCCTGGCTGCTTTTCTGTCTCAACTTTGCTTATCTTCTCCAGCCTTTCTTCTTCCCTTCCTCCAGCAGCTTGAAGCTTGTCTCCTGCCCTGTGCCTGGAGGGCTGAGGTACACGCTTGCTGTGCGGTGTCTCCCGTGAACCCGGGGAGCCGTGCGGCCCGACCCACGGCACCGTGTGCGCTGCCGCGCGGCCCGCAGCCTGTTCTCAGGGGTGGAATGCAAGCTCACTTTTGTGACTTCGCACTCTGGTCGCATTGTGCAATCCTGTGGGTCATTAGACAGGAGAGACCGCAGGGTGACGGGACCCCGGGCCTCTGACAAGCTGCTGTGCTCTCGCCCAGGACAAAGGGAAGACCCTGCTCCTGCACCAGTGGCCCACAGCTGACTTCCAGGCCGGCTCCGTGGCTGAAGGCAACTTTCTGCCAGGTTGGTGGCTGCAGGGCCCGCAGGGCCACGAGGTCTGGGGGCTGTGAGGGCCGCCTCCCAGGACACACCGCGCGTGGGCTCCCACAGGTGCTTCTGTGTGTAGAACCAGCCGCACGGGGCCTGCCCGTGCCGGACCTCCCGGGCAGAGCCCAGGGCAGCTCTCCTGGTGCACACACAGACACGTTTCTATTGGAGCTGGCTTTCTATCCCTAATGAGGACATTGAGGTACACTGGGGGGGGCACAGGAACCTAGACCACCACGTTCACTGTCACCGGGCCAGTCATCGTCCCGTGGAAAGCAGCCCGCCTGCTGACGCGGAGCCCTCTGAGTCCCACTGGCCCTGAGAGTCAAGGCAGGCCCCCGCGGGCTCCAGTAGAGTGCCCCAGGCAGAGTGCCCAGCCCATCCTGCCCCCCCAGGCAGAGTGCCCAGCCCATCCTGCCCCCCCAGGCAGAGTGCCCAGCCCATCCTGCCCCCCCAGGCAGAGTGCCCAGCCCATCCTGCCCCC